TATGGCGTCGATCTTCTGCCAGGGTGCAAGAAGTGAGGAGTCGACCTGTTCCGTCTGGGCAGCCATGCGGGCCACTGTGTCTTCGGGATTTTGAGCTACGTGGTAGCCGGTCGGGATCCCCAGGTGTTGGTAGGCTTGGCCCTCCTCTAGAATCGGGATCCGGCCTCCCTGCACACGGAAACCGGTGTTGAGGCACTGGTGTCTTTGCCTGCAGTCTAAGTGTAGTGATGCGCACTTAGCAGGCTTGAATGTAAGGCCACATCTGCTTGCGACCGTCGCCACCGTGTCGAGGAGCGTCTGGAGGTCTTCCGGGCTACTATCCATAACTACCAGGTCGTCAGCAAAAGCCAGCAAAGGGAGTCGGCCATCAGCAACCATGCAACCAAGCCCAGTCTCATTGGCCGCTCTGATAATGGGCTCCAGAGCCAGGTTGAAGATTATTGGGCTCAAGGGACAGCCCTGGCGGACTCCAGCATGGATTGGGAAGCTGTCCGTCTCGCCGGTCGAAACTCTGACTGTTGCAGTGCCGTCTGTGTAGATGTCCCTGCAGATGTCCACAAAGGATTGATCGACGCCGAAACTGGCAAGTACGTCGAACATGTGTTGGTGTGGGACAGAGCCAAAAGCGTTGGCCAGGTCCAGCCACGCGACAGCGCAGGATCCGCGTCCCCTTCGCGTTTCATCCAGAATACTTTGGAGTACAAAATTGTGTTCTAGACAGCCTTCGAATTGTCCAAAGCCTTTTTGGGCCGGCGACACCAAGCCGTGTTGCCTACACCACGCTGACAGCCTGTGCGCCAGACAGGATGTGAAGAGCTTGTATATGCAGCCGCACAGGGAGATAGGCCGCCAGTTGCCAGGATCATTGCGGTCGCCCTTTTTGTGAATGAGGATCACCACGGCACGCTTCCAGTCCTCTGGCACTCTTCTGAACTCGAGGACTCGGTTGAAGAGTGACGTCATAGCCACGCACCCCGGGTCTAGCTTTTTCAATTGATGGTAGCGGATGCCATCGTTGCCTGGGGCTGTGTTTGACGTGCGGTTCAGGCGCTCCACCAAGTGTTGTGGCTCGAATGGCAGCGTAAGTGTGTGGCCGTTGGGACCAACTGGCAGTTGCACTGCATGATGTGGACCGTCGAGGGGTTTCAGGCTGTGGGTTTCGGTGAAGTAGTTCACCAGCCTGTCATTCTCTATGGTGCAGTGCTCGTTGTTGTCTCCCGTTGTGGTTTTACGGAATGCCTTGGCTTTGCTTCTCCTGTAGAGCTTTTGGATTTCGGCGGCTTCTGCAGGATTGTACCGATTCGGGACTTGTTGTGGAGGGGGCGGCGGTCTTGGGCGGTTAGGCGGCCTGTTTGCATGGGGTCGGGGTCTCTGGGGCCTTGCAGCCGGCGCCGTTTTCTCCCTCATGTCGGCGACGATCCTGGAATACGCCGCCTCCAAGTCCTCAAAGTCGCGGACCGCAGCCAGCCATTGGAGCCACCGGATCTGATCGGCATTCGGGACTCTCTGTCGTTGTGGTTGTGGTCGAGCGTTGGGGTGCAATGGCGGGTTCTGAGGCTGGGCGGGCGGTTCTTGTCGCCAGGGGGGTGGCGGAGGCTCAGCCGGCGGCGCCTGGACGAGTTCTACTCGTTGGAGTGGGTTGGCTCTGCGTTGAGGCGTGTCGGCGAGAGGCTGGGGTTCGACAAGCTGTACTGGGTGTGCGGCAGGCTGTACTAGGAGTACGGTAGGCTGTACCGGATTTGCGACGGGCTGCACTGGCTGCACTGGGTGCGGAGCGGGTTGAACTCGGTATGGGGCAAGCTGTTCTGGGTGTTCGGAAGGCTGCACTGGATGTACAACAGGCTGCGCTAGGTGTTCGGCAGGCTGTGCTGGCTGCACTGGGTTTGTAGCAGGTTGCACTGGGTGTGTGACAGGTTGAACTGGGCTTGCGGCAGGCTGTTCTGGGTGTTCGGCAGGCTGGACTGGCTGCACTGGGTGCGCAGCGGGTTGAACTTGGCGCGGAGCAGGCTGCTCTGGGTGTTCGGAAGGTTGCACTGGGTGCACGACAGGCTGTGCTGGCTGCACTGGGTTTGCGGTGGGTTGGACTGGCTGTACTGAATACGCAGCAGGTTGAACATGGTGTGAGGCAGGCTGTTCTGTGTGTTCGGAAGGCTGCACTGGGTGTTCGGCAGGTTTGACTGGCTGCACTGGGTACGCAGCAAGATGAACTTGCTGTGGGGCAGGCTGTTCTGGGTGTTCGGAAGGCTGCACTGGGTGTACGACAGGCTGTGCTGGCTGCACTGGGTTTGCGGTGGGTTGCACTGGCTGCACTGGATACGCAGCAGGCTGAACAAGGTGTGGGGCAGGCTGTTCTGGGTGTTCGGAAGGCTGCACTGGGTGTTCGGCAGGCTGTGTTGGCTGCACTGGGTTTGCGGTAGGCTGCACTGGGTGCGTGGCAGGTGGACCTGGGTTTGCGGCAGGCTGTTCTGGGTGTTCGACAGGCTGCACTGGGTGTGTCTGAATCGGCACCGGGTCTACGCTGGGCTCCACTGATTGCTGTACTGGGTGCACAGCGGATTGCTGCACCAGGGGCTGCTCTAGCTGTGTGGTCAGTTGCTCTGACTGCTGCACTGGGTACAGGTAAGGCTCGAGGCGTACGTCAGGCTGCACTGGTGATCGACGAGTCAGTGCTCCCTGCTCTGGATGGACGACAGGGAGCGGTATCGCAGGCGGGGCTCGTTGGGGCTTCTCTTGTTGAGCATCGAAGATCTGAAGCAAGGTGGGCTTCTCGGGGGCGTGGATCTGGTCGAGTGGTCGAGGAATCATTGCCCCCTGCTGTGGATCGGTGGCAGAGGGCGGCGGGGCTCGTTGGGGCCTTTCCTGTTGAGGATCGAGGGCTTGTGGCAAGGCAAGCCATCCGGAGGTATGGACCTGGTCGAATAGTCGAGGAATCAGGGCCCCCTGCTGTGGTTGGGCGGCAGGGGGCGGTTTCGCACGCATTTCTCGTTGGGGGCTCTCCTGTTGAGGGTCAATTGTCTGCGAGAGGGTGGGCTGTGCGGGCACGTGGGCATGGACGAGTGGTTGAGAAATCAGTGCCCCCTGCTGTGGATGGGCTGCAGGGGGCGGCGACGCAGGCGGGGTTTGTTGGGGCTCACCTTGTTGTACGGCCACGTGTTGCTCTAGACGCTCCATATGAGGGGGTGCGAGCAGAGGAGCTGCATTTCGTCGCCTCAGGAGAGGCTGTTGAGGCATTGGCGGAGGCGGATGTGCCACCGCCTCGCCGTGGGCTGCGATCAAATGGGCTTTAATTTGCTTCAACTTACCATTTCTATCGCCACACACTCCACAGCTGAATGCTATTCGTTTCTGGTGGTATTTCTTTGTGTGCTTGTTTAAGTCGTTGTGGTTTTTGTAAATTCTTGGGGGCACAACCTCGCAAAAAGGGCAGCTCAGGACGGCAGGAAGAGGTACCATGATGTAGAATTCCTCGTGGTCTGCCGCAGCCATTTTGTTCCGGTTTCTGTAAGACGAAAAAAAAGAAAAGTTACACAGCCGAAAAATGCCGCACAATCGGTTCCCGCAAATCTAGACACTAAACGCACTAAACGACGCCACTACAGGAAAATATGTTTCCAAACCGAGAATGACCGAGAATGCCGACGCCGGACGCCGAACAACTTGCACGCGCGAATGTGAACAATGGAATCACGAACTACACTTTGATCTTAGCCAAAAGGCCGAGAAGCGATAAAGCGATACTAAAACTTTTCGAGGCTGTCTCGAAATGCACGTTTGAAAACGTTTTCATATAGATCTTTTCGCCATCTGTCGCAAGAAACGGAAAGCAAAAACCACAATCTCGATATCGAAAATCGAAAAAACAATAAAGTCTATTTTTGTTTTCAGAGAGCTAGTGACAATTTAAAATTGTAACATGAAGTATAAATTAATAGTCTTCAAATTATTTTATATGTCAACCTACAATTTTAAATTGTCACTGTTTCTCTAAATAAAATGGATAGAAGATTTATTTCAGTTTGTGGATGTATATAGATTATGTACCTACGCTACGAAACTATGAGAAAATAAACCTCTTTGACTTTCAACAATTACTAAAAAATTTCAGATGATAATGTTAATACCAACCAATAACGTTAATACTTACGTTACGAATCACATTCACAATCGAAGTGAGGGGTGAGACTGAAAGAAAGCACAAAAAATGTACCGGCAGCGCATTCGCCGCGAAGTCAATGAGAATGAGGTCGTTTTGGGAACGAACATTTTTGGCACGACCTTAAGTAGATTTACAATATATAAGGTACTAATGGCCGTTTGCACCGATCATTTTAAGCAAGCCCTAGCGATAAGTATTCCTCAAAATGACATTTCTCTATGCTCTATGTAAAAATGTCATTTTAAGGAATAAGGAATACTTATCACTTATCGCTAAGGCTTTCTTAAAATGGTCGGTGCAAACGGACCGATTTATATCGGTCATTAGTTTCGAAACCGATTTTTTTTTTTGAATCCTTGAACCCCTCGGGGCTCGTGCCTCGTTCACGGTAAAAAATTTGGATTCGCGAACTAGACAGGGCCCGCTTGTAGTGTTTTTTATCCAGACTCCAGAGTCCAACTATTCACGCGTCGAGCTACTGGAAGAATGTTTTTGGGGATACTACATACACGAGAGCTCCAAGATTACTGATCATTTTTCACCAGCGTGTGTGAGTGAATAAACACGCATAAGTGAAAAATTATTTTGTTAAATTTAAGACACGAGTGTTTCACGCTCGGTTTCACGATTTATATCGAAAGTATAATGAGTATGATTACCTGAGGAGTACCTAAAGAAGTGTTATTATTTGAAATATAAAAAGAAGCAACCACTCAGAATGTCTAGATTCCGTAGCCTGTCGCAAGCGACAAGTTGAACGATCATCGGCGACCACCGAGCATCCAACGAAGGTCGACTCGGAGTCATATCTCACGCTCAGGAAAGAAGACTTTACCTCATCCTCATGGTTGCGACAACTCTACTTTTGAGTAGAGAGTATGCGAAGATGTACTACAGAAATGATCCTGTGAAGTATGATCTTGCCGGTTACCTGACATATTTTTGTAGGAAAGACGAGAAGCACTCCAAGTGCTGGTCTCATACATACGGTGGCGTCCTCTCATTAAATTAATCAAAGTTAAAAATGAACAAGAGTGTGATAATCACCAAGTAATATTTTTCGTGACGTGGATAGTAAATGGTGGCCTGCATTTGGAAATTTGAGTATCGCATTTTCAAGATACATTCATATTTTTATATAGATACGGAGTACTGAGTACTAATATTGAAAGTAACTTCATTTGGCAAAAATAATGTGCGCGTTTCTCCATAGACTGGCGAACGCAAATATCAAGTCGTACACTATAAAACCAAGAAATAAAAAATGGTCTGTTATTGAAAAAAAAAAAAAAATAGAAAATAGAATGTAGGAAGAAGAAATAAGTTACCCGCTATTTTCGATATTTGTACATATACCTATGTACTAAGAACGAACTTTGTTTGACTGTCAAATTGTCGAATATAATACATTTATGTATAGTAATATAACTTACAATGCACAATGCAACAATAATAGGTTTAATAAAAGATTTTTTAAGTAAATTTTAATACTTATATATTTCCACAATTTTTTGTTAAACTTTTAACATGTTTCGCTAAACTTTAGCTTCATCAGAAAGATTTTAGAAAAATAAAATGTAGACATAAAAGTGAAATTGACAAATATAAAAAAGGTAAAAGCTGGTCTAATTTTATGTTAATTTAAATAGGTATTACACAGTAAATAAATTTAAAAGTGGTGAATTGTTTAAATCTAATTGGTCGTTCAATAAACAGTCTAAAGTTTTAAGTTTGTTTATTTCTAAAGATTCTAGAAGATTTAATTTTATCCCTTTGTTTTCATTATGTAGTATTTGAAATTCATTATTAAAATTATGATTTGATTCTATCAGGTGATTAGCATAATTTGAATCTGTTTTCTTTTTATTGAAACTATTGTAATGTTCTTTAATTCTAGTACCAAAATTTCTACCTGTTTGTCCTATATATACTTTTGGACAATCTTTACAAGATAATTTATAAACGCCAGATTTATCACAAATTTTAGTTTTAGATTTATTATTTTTCAAGTGAAAGCCTATTGTATTGTTAGTTTTGAAAGCAACATTTATATTGTTTTTGTTAAGAAATTTGCTAATTTTCTTAAAAAATCTTTTATTAGATAATGGATTTCCACCAAGTAAAAGCCGATTCAATCAAAATAATAGGTTTGTTTCTGCAGAAATCACAAACCAGTCAGAGCGAATTTCATTGGTTGAAAACAGTCAGAAAACTAGTTTCAACCAATGAAATTCACTCTGACAGGTTTGTGATTTCTGCAGAAACAGACCCAATATGATCTACGTTTTGTATGTAAATGGTAGGTGTCTTGTACGCTCATTAATGTGTCGGTTTGCAACCAGATGACGCCACAGTTTCTTCGCTACCGACGAAATGTTAGACATTCGAACCAGCTCGAAATTTTTAGAACAAAGTCGTTAGCTTTGCGCAGTGGCATTATCGTAACCAATGAGGTTTATCCGAGGTGCGATTATTGCTAGTTGAAAACTTTAACCAATACCCCGCTACGGGCACGTGAAAAACCGTGCGCCAAGGCAATTTTTGTGAGCCTCTGTAGAGGCTGTTTAGTCCAATAAACTTAATTTTTTATTAAAGTTAGGGATGCGATCTTTATTCAACGTTTTGGTTTTATTGCTGGTGCTACTGGTGCTAGTGCGATAAACGATTCAATATATCTGTCTTATTTCATCGTCATGCGTTTGTAGAGTATGGAAATTCGAATATAAAATAGGACCTTGCTTGTAGCGATTTATTTTTACAGATCTAGTGCTATGAAAGCTGCATATTATAGCGATTTCCATTTGCAAAACTAGTGCAAGTAAATTATCTTTAACCTTTTTTTATTGTCGATTTTCACAACCAACATCGATGATAGCATCGATGTTTTTAAATTTTATCATCGATGTCGAAACATCGAAACATCGGCTATTAAACATCGATGTTTTTTGATAATCGATGAACATCGCACATCCCCAATCAAAGTAGAGGTGAAAATATTCAAAATTCAAATATTGATGACATTAACAATAGAATAGAATAGAGGCAAGACAGATACCTAGATAGGTTCGTTCGTATTATTAGCCTTGGCGGCATGGCGAATGCGCTGCGTGCACAATTCAAGATTTTTAATAACAGAAGTAACGTATAAGAAAAATAATATAGCTGAAAAAAATGAAATTCTAGCTGGCACCAGCAACGAATATTGATCACGACAATGTTGAAGAACCACAATAATAATTAAGTCAATCACGTTTTCCACAAAGTCTAGTGAGCGGAAATAAATGAAAATAACCAAATAAAATTCTCCTGTTCAATTAAGGATGGCAGCACAGTCGACATAATGTCAGCTTACCGATGGCTGATAGAATGAGCTGCAAAAATTGCCTGGACGAAATCATACTTACCTGGCGTAGGGGCTACCGTGATCAACAAGGCGGTTCCCCCGGGGTGAGGCCCTTCCATTGCACTACGGTTGGGCTGACCCCTGCGATTATCCCTAATGCGGATAACTCGGGCGCGTAATTTTTGGTAGTCGGGACTGCGTACGCGCTGTCCCGGATTTATTAATTTAAAATTATTTAGTAAGTCGTCCAAATACCGTGAGTTATGGATGGTAACAGACGTAGCGGTAGCCTAGCCATCCATTGAATTCAATCAGATACCGGACTATCGTTATTACCGTACCGGCCCGTTAAACAATGTAATCTCTGCCTAAAGAATTATCCATGTTCACGGAACTTCCACTTAATTGGAAAAAATCGCAAACGTTTTTCTTCTGCTATATTCTGGATTGAAAAAAAAAACAAAAATAGGTACCTAATATCGTAGTTGGCTCTCCCTTGTATAAATTATTGACGTTTTGGCAAAAGAAAAAAAAAAATTGTATTTTATAGAATCCGAGGCGGAAAATGTTACATTGCTGGTCAAGAGCTTATCTAGTTTATCGAGATGCATAGCGTCAAGATAAATTAAACCTCGAGACAGCAATGAAGTTTTCCGTTGAGGTTTGTATATAATTTTATTTACAATCATACATGTAATGTTGACTTTACTGACTTTTAAAAAGTTCGAAAATGTCACTTTTTTGACTTTTACTTTCGGCCCACGGGTCGAAAGTTTACTTTCGACCCGTGGGCCGAAAGTAAATGAAATTTCAAAAATTTATTGTATTTTTTGACTCTTACTTTCGGCCCACGGGTCGAAAGTAAACTTTCGACCCGTGGGCCGAAAGTAAATGAAATTGTTAATTATTGTATTTTTGAGTTTTAATCCAAATGAAAATTTCAAAATTCGAATGATTGTAAATAAAATGGTATACATACCTCGGTGAAAAGTTTCATTACTGTCTCGAGATTTCAGTTAGACCTCGGCTGCGCCTCGGTCTAACTTAAATCTCTCGACAGTAATGAAACACTTTCCACCTCGGTATGTAATATACTATTATTTTTAACCATATATGAAATGTTGTCATTACTGACTTTTCAAAAATTTGAAAATGTCACATTACTGTCTTTCAATTTTCCTGCTCCATTACCTGTCCCAGGACGGGAAATGAGGATGGGAAATTTTTTCCGTCCCGATTTCCCGTCCACAGACGGAAAATGGAGCAGGGAAGTACTTCCCGTCTTCATTGGTTCTCACGATTTTTTTTTTAAAGAAATTATGGTTAAAAATAAAATAGTAGACAAACCTCGACGGGAAATTTCATTGCTACGCGTCTCCATAAACTTTATAACCTCTCGACCAGCAATGAAGCATTTCCCGTCTCGGATTATAATATACTATAATATTCATTGAATAAGCCTTATCAAATTTACCATATCGGCTTTTTTTGCAAGCTTGTAGTTTAAATAGGTATTTTATTAAAAAATTCGGGTGAAAAATGTTTGATAAGTATAAATTAAATATTATCTTGTTTCCTAGACCTTTTTGATGTGCGTACTTTATCTCTATAAGTAAAAGGTGGAAGTGATCGGATCGGGTACCATGGTCACTTTCATACCTACATTTAATCGATGGTTGACCGCATTTAAAACAAAGTCAGTAAAATCCTAATATAAGTAACCTGATTTTTTCCGACTTTTTCTTTGAGCTTATTGCAAAGGCAAAATAGAAAAGCTAAGGAACGAATCCGGCTCTGCTAGTCACTCAACTCAAGAACAAGCTTAATTTTGATTGGCTTCCAAAGGTCATAAAACCCAAACTTCTCGACACAAACTCTACACATTAAGCTTGGCTACCAAGAACGCATACGTGCCAACACATATTATGTCTTGCCTACGTAATGCATCAGTTGGTGACATTTGGGTAAACCCACCCCTCCCCAACATTTAGGGCTGGAGGTCTTTTATTCACTTGCGTCTATATCTCAACGTGACTCCTTCAGTATGCGCGTGCGCCTACTTACCATAGAAGATTTTTAGGTTAGGTTTTTTTGTTTTGTTTTGATTTTGATCTTGTGTACGTTGTTACCTAAATTCCCTAATTTTGTTTCTACTGACTCTGGAATTTCTATCCACCCCGTTTAGGATAATTTTTTACTTAGCAAAAAATTAGCGCAAGAAACTCAATCTAGCCCTTAACTATTTATATCTGTAATAAATAAAACACAAAGGTACCTATGTATTTGGGTGAAAAATTTATTTTGACACAGAAAAAATCAAAATGCACATAAAATCTAAAAGAAAGTATCTATAGTCCCCGCCACAGATAATCGAGGTTCCTTCAAAAAATGATTTCTCTGTCGGCGATGCCCGGATAAGCAAAAACTGTTGCAAAAACTCTACACATAAAGAATTGAGAATAAATTTAGTCCAAGAGCATCAATTTTTTGATTTTGTTTATCCGGGCATCGCCGACAAAGAAATCATTTTTCCTAGGAAATATTGTTTTTTTCCTTCCAGCCACCAACGAATCATGCATATTTTTGGTATGTCTGCTTAAATTGCCCTGATTTGAAAATGTTTTGGAACACCAAGTACAGACATATTATTATACATATCTACAAAATTT